TAGGGTGAGTGGTAAGGAAACAAGCAGGCACTAACGTTTTCTAAATCAACCATGAGAGGCATACTTCCAAGCTACCTAGGTCTGAATGAGCAATGGGAGGGAACAGTAACTGGTACCCAGAGAAAATAGCTGTAGATGGGGACAGGTTACCCAAGAGGAGCTGTGGTATACATACCTACTGAAAAACCATGGCCTCGGAGAGAGGGAGCCAGGAAATAAGTATTCAGACCCTTCTTCATTCTGCCCTCCATATGCTGCCATATTATTCACCAATGGCTAAACCCAGGAGAAGCCAGAGTACAAGGGAGCTTTTTGATCGCATCTATAAATGTCAGTCTCTTGATGCTTAGAGTTGTGTGCAGAAGGGTAGGGCCTGAATCTGAATGGACAACGGACAATTTACAGTTTAATAATGGAAGTTATAGCAATCTATCTTAGGCGTATTGGGCGCAGGTAGAATCATGGGGCAGGACTGTGCCAATGGCTAAACAAGTAAAACTTTGCCCCAATTGTCATTTAGGGCCAAAATCAATGAGAACATCTACAGTCAGCAGACAGATGACTGCAGCTAATTCTTGGATCTTATTTTAGGGATTGGTGAAATATGCTATGAGCACTGAACAGCATCAACTAAGAGGCGATAATGTCCCATTACAATGTGATACAGTAGATATTTCCATTTCGGGTAGAGTGAAATCACGTACTCGCTGACCACAGAAAGAGTCAGGGAAGAAGTCGCTGTTGGCAGCATTGTCTCAGAGAGAATGTCAGCCTGGACTTTGTCAGAGGAAATGGAAGACACGACGATTTCCCAGGGAACCAAGTGCTCTAACATTGAGTACAACAAAAGGAGGTCACTTTGTAGACCAAATTAAGATGCCTAATTCAGCGCGTGGAGCCTGCAGAGCTGCTGCCTTTGAAGCCAGGCACAGTGAGGCCGTCAGTGCTGCTTGAAATAGCCCCGCGAACTCGGCCTGAAACTGCATTTAACCCACTGCCTGTCGCTCTCCGTGTTATTTTTCTCGATTTCCTCCTCAGACTCACAGTTCCGTTTCCTCCGGTTTCTCAACTGGAAAACGTGTGTGATGACTCCGCACGGCACTCGGACTTGCTAGCGGACAGTCACAGTGTGCGCCTTGCTCTGCAGCCTGGTCTTGGCCTGGCGCACACTGACGTGTTGAGGTTCGAGTTCTCTGGCTCAGGGCGTACATTTTTCTTCTTCAAAGAGGAGGTGGTTTTGTAGTCTTTGGTCATTGAGTCGGTGTCACCAAAAAATATTTTGAGTTAGTGGTTTGGAAACTTAAAGATAAAATTTCTCATCTCACAAAGGATGTGAAATTTGAAACAAGAAAAGTACCTGAGGTACATTTATCCAGACACCGGCTCTGGCAGGGTTGCCAGGCTGAACCCTGACCATCTTTGGTTTGGTTGAGAGAGAGATTTGGGAGGACCCACGACAGCTGTCCTATGCTCCGGATGGAGGCAGCTCTGTAAACACTCATTGATGATAGTGGAGGGTGTCACAACAATTTTGGTAAAAATCATTTCAAACTATGGAAGAGAATGGGAAAGTAAGTGAAAACATTTGTGTTTTTGCAGTAATCTGTCTTGAGTCATTTGGATTTTGGATGTCCAAGATTGTAAGAAAGCTCATTCTAAAACTCCTCCCAGGACCAGAAAACATGAAAGATTTTTTAGTAAGATTCCTCTCAGATGCCCTGCTGTTGTCAAATTCAGGCTAGTTGGACTGTCTTTGTACCACTGATGTTTCAATACCCGTGCTGTTGTGCATTCAGAGGAGAAACTAGTTCTTTTCAAGTGACGACTCCTTATAAGTAAAACAATTTACTCCAATGGTCAACCCCGACCTTTCGTGGCTAATCATGTCTTCTGCTTGGAATTCATGTTAAATGATAAGGCCCAGAGAAAGAGGTACTAGGAGTATCTTCTCTACTTGCTTATATGATCATGGGAAACTCAGAAATTATGAACACATGGCATGAAGAAGCCCATTTACACCTGGATTTGGATCCATCAGAAACTTTTAGAAGAATATTTTATTTTGGAAGCAAAGTACAACTCTGCAACATTTTTTTTTTTTAAATTCTCGCCCAAGAAGATGCTTACAGAGAGGAACAGTGAGAGAGAGAGAGAGAGAGAGAGAGAGAGAGAGAGAGAGAGGAAACATTGATGTGAGAGAGAAACATCAAACGGTTGCCTTCCATACGTGCTGCAACCCAGGTATATGCCCCGACCAGGAATCAAACCAGCAACCTTTCGGTGTATAGGATGATGCTCAACCAACTCAGCCTCTCCAGCTGGGCACTCTGCAACATTTCATTTTTTTTTAAAATAATTCCAGGAATGGGAAATTTTTTTTTTTTTTTTACATTTGATAGCGACTTATTTTTGCTGTGTGCTGCCACAAACCACATGGCCAATGTTAAGTTCTACAATTCAAAACACTTCTTTTATCTTCTATACCCTATAGTTTGATCCCTAGTTGAATTGGTCTTCATCATGATACAATACCATGGTTGTGACTATCACTATTTTTATACTATTCTTCTACAAATGAAAATGTAGTAATAGTAGAAAAGTACACAGTCTTTAAGAAGGGGTCATGGATGAAGCTGAAGCTAAAGATTTAAGGATATAACTGGGGATGTGACACCTGCTACTGTCAGAGAAGTGAGGAAGAAAGGCATGCTTGTATTATGGAAGCCTTATGGTTTAATCTAACACTAGTTCCTGAGAAATGGGTTCTCATCTCAGTTTGGTTCCAGTGATTAAAATGTTCCAGAGGTACTTAGGGTTTGCAGACTTATAAAACAGCATACTAAGAAGTTAGATCATTGGACTTTAATTTCTTTAGCTGCAAGATACAGAGAATTTCTTTACTACCTATTTCTTTCTCAGCCTCACTTAAAGTCTCTTTTCCCTCCATTTATCCCTTAAATATCTGTGTTCCTGGGACTCTATTCTGAAAATTTTGCTTTTCTTGATCTGTATACTCTCCTTGAGTAACTTCATCCAAGTCATTGACCTAAACTCCATATTGTATGCATTCTGACAATCTTTGTGTTTAGACCATTTACATAATTATTGGTACATTTAAAGTTTACCATTTTATTATTTGTTTATGCTTGTTGCCTCATTTTTGCTATTTCTTTTCTCAATTTACCTTTTCTTATTTTCTTTTTAGTTTTATTTCATTTGACACTATCAATTGTATTATTGGTTATATCTCTTTGTATTTGTTTTTAGTTGGTTGCTCTAGGGATTACAATATACATGCCTAACTCTTCACAAAGCAGTTAGAATTCAAGTACTATTATACTTGACCACCATATAGCTCCCTTTTCTCACTTCCTTTTTTCCATTGATTTTTAGAGAGAGTGGAAAGGAGGGAGAGAGAGAAACATCGACGTGAAAGGGACACATCGAGTGGCTGCCACCTGCACGACCCAACCAGGGCCAGAGACAAACTGCAACCAAGGTACGTGCCCTTAGCGGGAACCAAACCCAGGTCTCTCTGGACTGCAGGCCAACGCTCTAACCACTGAGCAAAACCGGCCAGGGCAGGGAAAAAATGTCTTTATTTCACCTTTATTCTTGAAGAATACGTTTACTGGATATAAAATTCTGGGTTAACAAGTCTTTTCTTTCAGTACTTTGGAAATATTAGTCCACTTCTTTTTGTGTTAGCCTGAGCTCACCTGGTACTTTTGGGTAGACCAGATGTCTGCATTTTTTTTTTTTTTAAACTCTTATTTTATCATTCTTCTTTTTCTGTCTTCTTAGAGGAGTTTCTACTATAAAACTATTCCTCTGTTTTCTCTTCCTCCACTTAAAATGTACTTTTATGACCCTGGTCAGTTTGGCTCAGCAGTTGGAGCATCAGCCCATGGACCAGAAAGTCGAGGTTTGGTTCCTGCCAGGGGCACATACCCAAAAAATAAAAAATAAAAATAAAAAAATAAAAAATAAATGAACTTTTATGTAGCTCTTTACTCTTTAGAACCAGTTAGAAAGGAGCTGAGAAAAATCATTCGCTGAAGGTATCAATGGTTAATAAATGACTCATGTGTTTTCCTTCCTAGGAGAATTTCTTTTAAGCATGAAAGTCTTGAAAATTGGGCAATGCTTTAATCAAAGAAGTGAAGCGTTGCGATGTAGAATTTTAAGCTCCATGGTTGTGTATAAGGATGTTAACCACAGACATATTCCCGGGATGCCTCCAATTACAGGTGGGAGCAGCCACCTTTACTACTTACGGAATATTTTAGCCACTTCGATGGTAAAGACATTTGAAAATCCACACAGGGCCCGCAGTGGCTTACAGATTTTTTGCAAAATAGGCAAGAAGAATGAAAAAAAGACTTCTGAACTACTTACTTAAATGTTAAACTTTAAAATTTTCACTTTTAGCTCTTTTGGAAAAATATATGAGTTGTGTGCAGAAGAAGCTCCAAATTTGTGACTGACTACCTTTCCCCCACTCTACTGTAAGTTAAATAACATCAAATCTCAGAAGGTGCTTTTTGGACATAAGTCAAAAAGGCTTCACTTATTTTTGCAAAGTGATATTCCAAACACAAGTTATTAAAATGCCTATATTCTCTAAGGGTCTCAGAGTCCCCCTGCCTCAGGATTTCTGGGAGGTACATTAGTTCTGTTTTCTAGAAGAACATAAACTGAAGTCTAGTGAAGTTGAGAGGCCTTCGGTATACAGTGAGTTCCCATGTGGGGAGAAGGAACTTTTTTCTTGGGGCTAAAATGAGAGCATTCTCCTCTCTCTCAGCCATAGAGAAGCTCTGCTGGTGGAGGGCGGGAGAGGGCAGGGGGTTGCAGCCCGCCTGCTGGCTGATGCCTGGAGTGGGCGGCAGTCAGCCAGAGAGGAGGGCTCGTCATGGTGATGCTGGGATTTATGTTGGTGTGTGATTTATCCTCTCTGTTAGACAGGCTACTTTCTTCTCCTGTTCCTCAGGCAGCCTCCCTGCTGGAGATGACTGTCAGCTGCTTTCTCCGCGTAGCCACCGTCACATGCCCCAGCTCCGGAGCCTGGGACGCCTGACCACAGACCAGCATCTCTGAGGCATGAATAATTAGGCAGGCATAATGGAAGGCACTCACTGCACCCTCCAGTTGCGTAAGCCCATTACCGAACTCTGCTACATCAGCTTCTATCTTCCACGGGGGGACGTCAGAGGATTTTCATACAAGGGCACCGTAACTCTAGACAGATCCAATAAAGGGTTTCAGAACTGCTACCAAGTCAGGGAGGGGTCAGACATCATCAGCCTCAGCCTACAGCCGGACGAACACCCAGGCGACATATTTTTCAAGGAAACTCCCACGAAAGACATTCTAACCGAGCTGTATAAACTCACAGCCGAGAGGGAGAGGCTGCTGGCCAATCTTCTGAGCTCGGACCACATCCTGGGGATCACGATGGGGAACCAGGATGGGAAGCTGCCGGAGCTGTCCGTGAGCCTGGCCCCCGAGGACGACTGTTTCCAGAGCGCTGGCGACTGGCAGGGGGAGCCCCTCGTGGGCTCTCTCAATAAGAGGAGCACCCATGGGAACAAAAAGCCCCGGAGGTTTGGTGGAAGGAGAGAGAGCATGGAGGTGCTCCCGCAGAAGAGGACAAGAAGAAAAGGTCATGGGGGCCAGGAACTGGCTCCTCCAACGGGGAGGGACTACATCTGTTCTAGCAATTCCCTTCCTCTTTCTCGAGCAAGGCCTCACCTTGATCTTCTAGAGGAGAAAGGCAACTTGCTCCCGAGTAGGCCACGTACCTCTTCCCTGCACAGGACAGAGAGCTGCCCCCCAGAGATCTCCAGGACGCCGGACCCTGACCCTGACTTTGGGAGCTTTGGGCTGGCTTCAGAGGACACTGAGCTTGGAAGAGGGGGGCTGCCCCCTGAGTGCAACTCCTCAGAGCAAGGGGGTGGTGGTGTAGGGGGGCTCCGGAGGGCACCTGGCAGCCGGGCGTCGCAGCAAACAGGTTCCTCTATAAATCACGAGCATCCTGAGAAGCATCCATACACAGAGAGGGGCCAGAGGGAGAAGTCTGCTGAGTGGACTCACAGGAAGAAACCTGTTTCCAAAGTGGTGGCCAAAGCCCAGGATCTGACCGCTCAGGTGCAGAGAGCGGTTAAAACACGTCCTGAGGGCGAAGGAAGAATTGCTGTTGGCCCAGCGGCCCAAGCTGAGTCCATACCCAGCGCAGTCCTGCTCACCCTCCCAGCAGCCAAGGCTGGGGCTCATGGTTCCAAGCAGCGGGGCAAGGAGCAGCGAGGGGACGGGTCACTGCAGTCATCAGCCTGGGAATGTCCTCCAGCCGGCACCGAGGGGGCAGTGAACAAGGTCCTCCTGAAGGTGATAGAGAGCGAGAAGTTAGTTGAAGCCACTGAGGGGAAGAGGCTGGGCTTCCCCCTCAGGAGGACGGCCCCCCACACCCTCCCAGACACCAGAAGCAGGAGGAGAGCTGGGCGGTCTGTGAGTGGCCACAAGACCTTGTTTCTGGATCTGCCCCGCAGCGCTGGCCCCGACTCCGCACAGGGCGGAGGTGATGAGAAGAGGCCGTGGCCCCCGGCTCTGGGCATGGTATTTAATAATTCATCCTCTCCGTCTGGCACACACGGGCGGCTGTCACCTGCTTCCTCGCCTCTACCTCCAAGGCTCCCCAGCCCGCAGCAGCATCGCAGGATCCTCCAGCTGCCTGGCAGGAGGGAAGCCGCTCTTGATGACTCTCCTGGGCGAAAGAGTGGTACCGTCTCTGGGTCCACCTCTGTCGACACCTTGGAGCCATCATCCTCCGCGAGGGTCACGGAGGCCACAGGAGCCAGCCCCGCCTTCCTCGGAGCAGACCAGCCTCGGTTGGCGCCTGGGGGACCTCTGGAAACGAGCTTGGGGTCCGGGAAGATCACAGCTCAGACTCAGCGCCAGTCACCCCCAGGTCAGTCCCTGTTTAAGATGCTTTACCTCTGTTTTTTTTTGGGGGGGTGATTCACAAACTGCTTGTGCTATTCAGAGATGGGAATGAACAATGAACCAAAAATTCCTGGGCCAGTCGGTCAGTTCTCCTTGTAGCAAGGAAACTGGGAGTGGTCTAGGGGAGTGTAGGATTGTGAGGACGGTGTTGGCCTCCCGAGTCGGGGGTGGAGACGCTTCCAGAGCAAGACTTTGCGAATGTCTTTACTTTTTATTTTATTTGGGGTGTGGGGGAGGTGCACCAAGGCTGCCTCCATGGTGGCTAAACACAGGACTCTGAGGGAACAGGAACAAACGGGCAGAGAGAAGTAGGGGCGTGTTGCTGCCTTTGTTGCAAACACTGGGGGACTGGCCCCTGGACCAGGATTTTGCTGCTGGCGCTGCTGAGTTTGCTGGGATTCTCAGAGCGGAAGAGCAGAAGCTCCCTGTGTCTTGGCGTCAGTCTGTGTTAGAGGATTTGTTTTCCTTGGTAGTAATCGCCTTTGTAATATCATTGTTTTATGACAAAACCTTTTTTTGTTTTTTTTGTTTGTTTGTTTGTTTGTTTGTTTTTACCAGAGGAGTGGTGAATTCAGTCTAGTTGGAAGAGACTTAGTTCAGATTTGTTTATTCAACCTGTTTTGTTTGCTTTCCTAAAGGAGCCCAGAGTGATGCTCACTCTGAAGCCACAACTTGTGTACAGGTTAGTGCTGCTACGGGTGCAGCAGCTTCTCTTCCGCAAAAGGTGCCGAAGAGGTGATCGGGCTTGTGTGCTTAATGCGATTTAAAATTTTACTTGAACATAATTTGGGGGGTTCATAATAAAGTGGGTTCAGTAAGACAAAAACGACCGTGTAAGAAGTGCCGCTCCTGTCTACATCACATGTTCCGGGCCAGCGTGGCCAGGTGCTCGGGGTCCTGCGTGCCCTTGCGTAGGTAATAGGTTCTTTTTCAGCAGCCCTTGAGCAGCATATGGTCAGTGCACTGTCCAGGGAATAGTTTGTAACATGATATATGGTCTCTCAAAGGCTCCAGCAAACATCAAGGCAATTTTTTTGCGATAAAAAATATCTATGTAGGAAGGAAAAACTTCCAAAGCTTTCTGTCCAGTTTGAATTCTTGACATCTTTATAAATTTTTCTAAATCATGATCCAGAGGGGTGGTTCTTAAAAAAAAATAAAAAAAAATTGTGGTAAATGGTTTCCCTTTGTTTTCGTGATACACTGATCTTAGTTTGATAAGACTTGCTTCTTTTGTAATATAACCAATCTGCTCACCAAGATTTTATAACATGTATCCTTAAACCCTAGTGAAGAGAATTCATTTGCCCCGTGCCTACTTCAAAATATTTGGGAGGGAGCTCTGCCCACCCCTCAGGAGAGAGGCTTTTGCAGACAAGGCTGTGGTGTGCCTGCCTTCACTCTGACGGCTCTCCTTAGACATCACCAGAGTCTAGGATTCTGTGTGCCCCTCTTCCAGAAACTACAGTAAATACACTGAGCGTCAGTAACTCTTTTCCCCCTGATTCAGAATTATCTTTTTATTTTATTTTGTGGTCCTCTTTCTATATAAATTTATTGCGAAAGCCGCGTCATACCTGGCTCACGGAAGGCAGAGGACATTCAGTTTCTAGGTGGTTGGCCGTGAGCCCACTGAGGGGCAAGCTCTACAGATGGTCCCTTTTCCCTTTCGCTCCCCCCATACAATTGCGCAGAACCATTCCCTTTACGCTGGTCCCAGATCTCCCGTTGGGATGGTCGGTAGCCCTCTCAGGAGCCAGTCAGTGGATTCGCAGGGATTCCTTGGTAGAAAGACTGCCTGTGCTTCTAACTTGATAGAAGGAGCTGGACAGGAAGAGGGGAACAGGAGTGAGGAGCGGCCACTTTTTCTGGCATGGATAACTTCCCTTCAGCTGGGACCTTCCCCCACGACACCCTAGCAGTAGCTCTTACCATGGCCCTCCTTTGAAAATCATGAAGGGAGGGAGTTCTCCAGAGAGCGTCTGTGATCTGTGTCCTGTGCTCCTCACCCCCTTTCCTCCCTTTCATTCCACTTTTCTCACCTGAGGATAGAGGGTATTTTTCCATTTATCATCAGACAGAGTGGACGGGAGAGAGAGAGAAACATTGATGTGCGAGAGAGACACATCAGTTGGTAGCCTCCCTCACAACCCTGACCGGGGCCAGGGACCCAACGACAACCAAGGTACGTGCCCTTGACCGGAATTGAACCCAAGGCTCTTTGGTCCACCAGCTGACACTCTAACCACTGAGCCATATCGGCCAGGGTTCATTCCCCTTTTCTGTAGCCACTTCATATTGTGGATCCTTCCGTGACTTCCTGCCGCTGGCAGGTCCTGTCCCAGAGAATTTTCCTGCTCCCAGCTGCCTTTGTCTTTCACTTGTTCCTCCTCCCACCTCCTCCCAGCAGAGGCCTCCGGCAGTGCCCACAGCCCAGAGGAGGGGTCTGGAATTCACTTACTGTCGCCGCACGGTGGCCCACTGCCTGTATCCACCCCCACCCCCTTCTCCCCGGTCAGCTGTTACCAGGTTGAGTTTGTGGACAACTGCTTCCCGTGGAAATAACATGCAGGAGTTTTACTGAAGGGATGTGAATAGCACTATTGAAAGCCCCCATTCACTGCTCAAGGAAGAGGTTAGTCAGACAAAAGTAATCAGATCCCTTTCCAGCTGGAAGACTCTTAGCGTGATGGACAAGGAGCGGTGTCCAGGGAAGAGCGAAAGCCGCCTCTTCTCACCAGACCGAGCCGTGAAAGCCATCACATCCGCACAGGACATAGCGTGAAGGTGTCACTGAGCCTACCGGTCCACGTCCTGCTGGCTTTGGACTTTTCCTAACTCTACGTTCCAAGGGGTAGGCACCGGGATTTCTTGTCTGGCAGTGATGTGCTCAACTAGAGAATATAGTAACAATGAATAGTGGCCAGATTTGTGTCTTCGTCCCCTCCATCCTTTTCTTCCCTCCTGCACCTTGGAATTGGTTTCAGTCTTTTATTTGGGGACGGAAACTGCTGTAGAGTGTCCCCAAGCCCCTGTGGAACATATTCTCTCCAACCTTGAGGGACTCTAGTCGTGCAAGCCGGCTCTGCGGGGCTTTGGGGCTGGGTTCCTTTCTGTTTCCATGGGTCCTCTCACCTTTGATCTTCAGTGGACCCTTCTAAAGCCAGGAGAGTCACATGGAACTTGGCTCACCGTCCGCGGGAGACGTCCCGTGCCTCCACATGCGCCTCAGCAGTCTCGTGCTCTTCTCCTCTGATGCCTCCTGGTGACGGAGGCATGTGCCCCAGGCGCCGTTCCTCTTGGTGTTGTGAATCATTTGACCAGTTCTTGTGCCCGTGAAAAGAGGTTGTTCATGTCAACCGACTGAGGGTTGAGAGGCACTCTTGTTAATAGATTTTACTGTGCCTAACACTACTGTCGAAACTTGGATTCCTCTCTGGATATATTTATGGGGAGTAGATGTAATTTCTTCCTAAGTTAATATTGAGGTCTGATGCAAGTCCAATGAAATTGTAAAGAAGCTTTACAACATTAATGGACACGTGCAGCCATTTAAGACGATTATAGAAAGTGGATTACTGTAGAAAGTATATAGAAAATGATCTGTAATTAATGTTAAGAAAGAAAGAAACATTCAAAAGTTGCATATACTATCTTATACCCATGTAAAACAAATATAAGAATTCAATCGACAGGAAATACATTGCTATAGACCTTTAAGAAAGTAACAGGCTGGTGACTGAAAGTATATGTAACATTGACCTAGCAGCCCCAGTTATAGGGATTTAGCTTACGTAAAGAGATGCACTAGTCAGAATGTATGCATGAGGGTATTTCTTGCAACATTGTATGTAGTGCCAAACATAGCCGGAAAAAGGTTTGGATGCCCATCAGTAGAGACATAGTTAAATAAATTATAGTATATTTATACTCTGTATTACTATGAGGTTACTTAAGGTAGTGAACTCGATCTATATCTAGCAAGCTGCAAAGTAACATATGGTTTTTCTCAAGACAGTGTCGTCTTCTGCATATATAAGCGTTTAGGTTGGGTATGGGTTTGACTCTCATGGAGACAGATATAGACACAGACTGGCCAGGCTGTTCACATGCTTTATCGAGGGGCAAGGCAGGGAGATGGTGAGGAAGGAGGGGAAGGGGAAGGCTCGCTGGTTGTAGTGAATGTATCACTTGTGAATTTTAAAGAGTGATTTTAACCACTTTTCACTTTATTTTATGATTTTTTAAATATTTTTTTCTTTATTGATTTTAGAGAGAGAGGAAGGGAGAGGGAGAGAGAGATAGAAACATCGATGTGAAAGAACATCAACTGGCCGCCTCCTGCATGCCCCCCACTGGGGATCGGGCCCACAACCTGGGCATGTGTCCTGACCGGGAATCGAACTGGTGACCTCTTGGTGCCTGGGTCGATGCTCAACCACTGAGCCACCCTGGCCAGGCTTAACTGCTTTTTAAAGAAAGTAATATACCTAGAGTGATTGTGTGTATGTGTGTGTGTGGTAGGATTGTGGCTAAACCACACTTTTCTGTGCTGTCCCCATGTGCGTGGATGAGCGCTGAGACACAGCGTTGTCAGGAAGGGGGTTCAGGCTGCCCCAGGGCTGTGGGAGCAGTACCCCAAAGGACCAGTCAGGGAGGCAGGGCGGGACGAGAACCGCAGTATCCGGAAACCAAGAGAAGGCCGTTCAGAAAGGCTCCTACATTAGACTGGGTCCTGACAGGTCACAGACATCCCCAGGCCTGAAGGAACAAGGGAAACAGAAGTCCCTGCAACTCGACAGGGGAGTTTAATGGAGAGGACCTCGTGGCAGGAACAGTGGCCTGTGGTGGAGGCACCTGACGGAGACGAAGCTCTGGGAATAAACAGCATGGCCTCGCTTTTCTTTGATCTTCTGCCTGGAAACCTCCTCTAACTGAACCAACCAGAAGGCAAAGTATAAAGGA